ACAATCAGAAGTATTTCGTCCAAGTATCATTTCTACCACGGTCAGCTCAGCATGGTTACGTCGTACCCAAGAGGAGGCTCAGTCAAAATGCTGACGCATTCACTTGATATCCATGAAGCCGGGGTTTATCCTCTCCCAGGATTCAGCCGCCGTAAAGTGAAGTAAGTGATGCACGGCGGGATCGCTTTGTGCACAGGGTGATAAGATCCACCTCGCCCGAGATCAAACAATATTGAATGCTCTACCTAATCTTATTGTTAATGGTCAGTTCCTGAGTCTATCGAAAAGCAGCTTGTTTCGTCTATCGGATTTCATTAACTAACCGAGGAACGAAATGGTACAAGTAGTAAAAACCACGTGAAATCGAGAGCACAGTAGTGATTGCCGTGATTAAGGTATGGAGTGTGTAAAACGTATCGAACAGCCGCGTGGCTTGGAAGAAAAACGGAGGAAATCGGACTCAACGAAGAAAGTAAGACAGATCTCACCTCCTGTGTCAACCCTGACCCCGTCAATACAGCTACCGTGGATACTTCTCCAGCAGAAGTGTCGATGTGAGTCAAAGACGCCTGCAAACGCTGAAGCCATTCGTTTCGCCGTTTCACCAGAACGTGTTCGGCTGCAGCAATCTGTTCGAGTGCCAGAGGTGGAGAAATGTGTTGCAGTGCGTCGAGTAAAAGAGGCCAATCGGTTGTCCATTGTTCTGTTTCTTGAGCCAAGTCTGAGCCGACAGGCTGTGGATAGGAATCATCCGGTGTCGGGATTGAACGTGTACTTGTTGGAGACGAACTCGGTGAGAGTGAGTGGGCTGCGAAAGGACCGTTTGGGGTTTGACGACCACTACCGTCTAACCTGTCGTCATTCATGTACGAGTTGCCACACTGTGGCTCCGGGGTGTCTCCAGACAGGAGTGGCGAATCCAGTGATCCCCCTCCTTGTAGTAATTGACGCTCTTCGCGAACAGCTGTGTAAACAATGCAAATTTGGTTAGGTATGACGACGCTAGATAGATTAAATTTAGTGATAGAGCGAAGTTCAAAAGACGGAGGCACCGTGCCGCTATAATCGAGAGGTGAAAACCGACACGGTGTGCGCAAGTAAACCATATCTACAGATTACAAATCCTAGTCACCAAGTAATAACCAAGACGCCGGTTACGGTTTGAAACGGCTACTACATACATACGGAATTTGATCACGTGCCAGTTTGGACTACTGGTTACAGTGTGCATATAAAGCACTCTACAGACCGGCAGCCACAGGCTTACGAAAATGCATCTGATCAGAGGCTAGAGTCTCACTCACACACATACACAATTTGGTTTAACGACCGTGTACCGGCGTCGGGAAACAGTCCTAAATTATTTCATCTCGTTCGGGTCGTTTGCAAAAAGATGTCCGGGAAATGATCTGCAGGCATATAGTTCATTCACCTTCAACCAGTAAAGATGCTTCAAACGCTTTGTAGAGTACGTCAAACTGCAGTTCATCGGACGATCAATTAAACATTTCATGCAGCTGGATTACGTAACACATTCGCGTCCAGATCAACCATTAGGCTGCCCGCCACCGCCACCCGGTTTTGGTGGTAGGCAGCTCTGCTGTTGTCCGGTTCAATACCACGCCTAACCTAGCGCGGCCTTATGTGGTTCACCCCACTTCAAGTCCAGGGGCTTAGGTTGCCGGTTTCCACCACTTAATATGGGGTTCGCCCCGTCTGTTGTTCGTCACACGGAGGTGTGTAATAATAAAAAAAATCAAGCTGCAACTGAAAGATCAAAAGTTCTGTTTCCGAGATTTAATCCTGCATTGAGTCTTTGACTTGTTTAATATCCTAGTCTTGAATCGGAGAGTTCGTAAGCATCATCCGGTTTGGTTAAACATCGCGGGTCACAAAGCCAGTTGCGGGCGCAAACTGTTCACACCTGAGGGAAGAACAATCTGGGAGGATTAAACATCCCATCGTGGTCACAGCGGAAGCAGAGGGAACTCGCATTCACAATCTAGCCGTGTGTGTGTGAAGTTGTTGTCTACCATGGCCCTCCGTTTACCCTATTTCACTCGCCCATCCCAATCTTCGTCATATCAGGACTAGGTACCATATCGGAGGCAGAGCGTATTTTTCTAGGTTATTATAATTTTTACAAGCTAGCGCCGGAATCTTTTTAACAGAGTTATATAAACTGTGATGCATCAGTCACAGAAGACAAATCACTGAAAACAAGTCTTGTTCGCTACACTGTGCTCTTTTCGAAATCTTTGTTGATGGTCTAATCAAGTGGTTCACACTGGAATATTGCGACGAACACCGCTATCCACTTGGTATTGCACGAGTCTGGTGTGATAACCGGACGAGCAATGCTGAGGTTGGGCGTAGAGTTTTAGGGAGTCGCGGTCGTCCACTGGAGTAGGTAGTCCACCTTCATAGATTAAGCTGGCTAAGGCGTGCTACACATATCACCAAATAGGTTTCCACAGGGAGCGATGCTTGCTAAGGCAGGTGGCGATTGGAAAAAGAGCAAGGGAGATAAGGGGAAGACCTGGTGTGAAGGTATGAAAACCCTAACCAGGAGACTAGGTCACATATATCCCGTTAGGCTTCCTGGCTGGGGACCTCGAGATCATGGTCACCGATGGTCAGAGACACTGAGCGATATGCCTGGGTGTCGCAAACAGTGACGCACATTATTCTTGTAACTTTGGTTCATATAAATTCGTTATCTTTCGCTTGAATTTACTCTCAACATGATAATCTTCATTTTGCCGTTTTATCCAAATGTTCGGTTAATGGTTGTCAGAACTAATCTAAACTGAACCGATCTGCACAACAGAAGGGAAAACAGATGTGAATACACGTGATACAAGTTAAGGCGATCTACAGAAGAAGGAAAACAGAACACAGCGCTTTAATTCAGAACGTCCAGTTACGGTAGAAACGTGTTATACCTATGTCCGGACAGACCCACACCCCTGGTGATGTGGGTTGTGGCAAAGAAGTGAATAAATTGTCGTTCGCGCCTCCGAAAGTCTCAATATGCTTCGGGGGTGGATTCCTAGGGTTGTGACTGGTCACCCTCCCCTTAGACCTAGCGAAATGCTCCTGTTATGGTTTACCACTGAGTGATTTGTGTTCATAACATGCCTGTGGTCAAATTGATTGATCGATTGACTGACTGAATTTTTGGCTTGATGGCATTCGCATGTAGTGCGACGTGTGAGCCGGTGTCGACCTGCCTGCCTTCCGACACGCTGACCGTTCCTACTTGTTCCCCGGTTTGTGCGCCGGCTACATATTCACTGTTGCCAATAAACTTACTGCTTCATTCGTTGTGCGCTCATTTGTCTACTAAATTTGGGGCACAACAGCTCCCATACGACAAGGTGCCTCAAATAGTTTCTGCTGGGGAAGTCCTACTCAATGCCTTTTCGTGTTGCGGAGGTGTTTTCCCATCACAGTGAGAGGATGGAAAATCGACAACCGAGTTGGGGGAACCATTGGCAATTCACCCTGGTTCCAAACCAACCAAGAGGAGGCGTACGAACCACACACACCTTCCTATTTGTGACAATGGTCACCGACTGATTTGGGCATCGAGGTGTACTGACCCCGTCCGAAAGGCGTATGATCCGATGAACTGGACACCGGCTCCCAATGGAGTGCGGTTTACACACACCGTCACACTGCTTTGCGAGTCAGGCTTCGGCTAACCGAAGGTTCCGGTTGTAAATTCTTCAAGAAAATTCACCTGCCTTGGCCTGGGCAACCTGGCAATATTCAGCCCACATGCAAGTCATGGAAAGTTTTTCCTTTTTTTAAGGTTATTGTACCATGATTCGCTTAACACACAGTTTGGTCTTAGACAAGTGCGAAAATTATCTATACGTGTATTTTTTATCGATACCGTTTGTCTAGTTTTGGCGTTTTCACAACGTGACAGATCGTTTCGACTTCACGTTTGTCTGCGCTTCTACGGAGTAGAGAGCGATCAGGAGGAATAAGCACTGAATATCAGTTCAGTTCGTTGATCTGTACCGTTGACATTTATCTTTATCCAAAAAACGGAAAACGATCTTTAGTTAATAACCAGCGTCAAGCTGTCCGCTTATAGTTTTAGTTTTCAGTTTGAACAACCATTAACCATGCACTTTCGTGCGCCGGCTTTGGTTGCCCATTGGGATGAAGAATAGGAGAAGAAAGGAAAGTTGAAAGTGGATTCGAAAGGAAAATGGAGAAGTTCAG